GATATTATTAAAGTAAAATACTGGTTGATTCGGAATACTAAAGGTAACCATTTTCTTGTAACAATCAATACTTGCATGGTATGCAGAAAGCTAATCCATGCCTAAGATTACATCAAAATCTTGAATTTTTAGGAGTATTAAATCAACCAACAGTTCATTTTCTTCTATCTTTATTACACAGGATTTGTACACTATATTGGTGTCAATTGAATTTCCCATCGGTGTGGCTACCTCTAGAATGTATTCTAATTGTTCTGGTTCTACCTTTAAGTGGCATACAAAGTGTAATGACACAAATGAATGAGTAGATCCAGGATCAATCAAAACATGAGCTACTTTTTGGAAGATAATAAGAGTACCATGGATCATTGATTTTGAGGCCTGAGCGTCTTGCTGGGTGATCGTAAATACTCTTCCTTTCATCTGAGGCGTTTGAGCTATCTCTCCCTGCTTTGGAAGCTGTTGCATCTGTAAGCTAGGACATTCACTAATCTGGTGCCCCAATTTTTCACATTTAAAACAGGCTTCAGTATTCCAATAACAAGGGCTTGATCCATGCTTTTTCCCACATTTTTTATATGGTTCTATTGGGCTTTGAAGTGGAAAGGGCCTTGGCTTCTTGTTTGCCCCTTCAAACTGTTGTCGATTAGATGGTATGGGTCTAACCTAAATTTTCTAATTTTTCATCTTTGGTAATCTTCGCAATCTTTTTCAACAATTTGGGCTCGATCCACTATTTCAGCATAAGTTCTCAATTTTAAGACTGATATTTTGCTTCTAATAGCTGGTCTGAGACCCTTTTCAAAAATTTTCACCTTTCTTGCCTCATTGTTAATCATATGTGGTGCAAACCTGACCAATTCAGTAAACATGGCCTTGTACTGAGCTGCTGTCCGGTTTCCTTGGATTAATTCCAGAAATTCCATTTCTTTTTGGTCTCGAATAAATTCTGGGAAATACTTTTCGTTAAATGCCTCTAAAAATATTTCCCAAGTCAAGGGTTTATTTTCTTTGACCAATACTCCTTTTGTCATTCGCCACCAATGTTGTGCTTCACCTTCTAACATAAAAACTCCTAAGGCCACCTTCCTATCATCAGGACATTTCATTACCTCGAATATTTTCTCCAATTGCATAATCCATCCCTCGGCTTCCAGTGGATTTACAACACCCTTAAAAGAAGGTGGGTTCAATTTCTTAAATTGTTCGACATTACTCCCACCATTTCCCGTAACTGACTGCATGGGTGGATTGTTGTTTTCCATCTGATGTTGCATTAGAGCAACCATATTTTTCAAGGCTTTGTGAATTCCTTCCATATTAGCTTCAGCTATTATGGATCTTGACTTTGTCCCGGTCTGTACACACAATAAATGTGATGTTAAGTACATTCTTTTTAAATTTCCTAAGAACACCCCAAGAATTTACAGTACTGATATTCTTATGATGTGACAGTCAAAACAAAGAAATTTTAGATATCTACCATGCATTGAATCAAAATCAAAACCCCCTTATATTTTTTTTCTTTTTTTGAAATTTTAAGATTATTACATTCAATTCTGTTCATAACTAATATTAACATAAAGGTCCAAACATATATACATCTATTGACAGGACAAATTTACGATGACGAATTCTTACAAAGTAACAAAAGAAAGTTTAAGC